TTTTTTTTTTAATTTCTCAATTAGTTTTCGGTAACCAGCCAGAAGAAACAGTATTCCTCAGTCCTCTGAAGGTTACTGGCCGGCCAGACAATTTTGTTGGAACAAATTGGGCTTTGAAGCATTTGGACCATTCCAGCGATTTTAGAACGCCATCACTTAGAGAGTATTCACGAGTTTCAAATCAACGAGTAGTTGCTAACCCTTTATATCTCGAATATCCAGGACAAACAAATTTTCTCAACCGGCCCGGGCTTAGAGGCAATCAAGCTTTTAGAACTTACCGTAACTACCGTAACCGATCATATGGAAACCAGTATCCTTTATATTCTAGATATCCTTACTCGCCAGTACTTGCTCAAAACCCCAGATTTCCTGGATATTTGTCCAATCAACTAGGCAATTCTTTGTATCCAAGTCGGCCGTGTTTCCCTAATCCGAACCTACCAAGATACCTTTTTCTTCCTAACTTTCCAAATCCGCCAGAATCTTCCAGTCCAACCGTGACCCCAACTAATAATTAAGGAAATAGTAGTCAACAAGTTCCAACTATCGCGCCTCAGAGAACAAGCAACAGCAGAGCAAAAAGGGGAGTAGGCAGCGTTAAAAAAACTCCTGACAGAAGTTTTGAATTCTTTACAATCTTTTTATATGGTTTTTTAAAAAATTTTGCGCATGGAAGACACAGACATCATTGTTGGCCACTTCTTCACAACCTCACTGAAGAAACCAGAGAAAAATTTTTTGCTATTATTCTTTCGAATAATTTAACTAAAGAAGAACAACGGTTAAGATTACAAACTTGGGCTAAAGAACCAGGACCAGAATTTGCGGTAAGCCGAAATAATCAGATGGTTTAAACAAAAGATAAGCTTGAAAATCTTTTTTTTTAATTTTTAAATTCAGCAGTGTTAATCAACAATTTTTAAATACCACATCGAGTCGTTTAAACTGCAGTCAAAATTCAATGAAACTGTGGCAGAAAAGGAACAGAAGAGAGAAGAGGCGAGGAATATGACTAAACAATTAATTGCCAACGTTACAGCAGCGTTAAATGAGGTTGAAGCTGTCAAAAGTAATATGACGATTACCAAAGCGGAGGAACATCAGAGGGTATATACTAGTATCAATCTTTCAGTTAAAGAGGAAGACAACTATATTTGTGCTTTTTCTAAACCTACCTAGATATTTTTCAAATATCGATAAAAGATTGGTTTGGTAAGCATTCTTCTTTGATTTTTATTTGAATTAGTCTGATTACTGCTTAATCACGTAAAGCTTACTCTAGAGGAACAAATTACTTAACCTTTCTAATTATTTCAAGAGTTGTTTAGGTTCACCAAATATTTAAAGAAGCTTCCCCACCAGTAAAACTCCTATTGAAGATACTGAAAAAATTCTCAGACGACACACGTGAACCAGGATTTTCGGGACAAGGGGTGCATTTTCACAAGCCGTATCTCCAAACTCCTAATTTTTTCTTTTCCTAAATTTCGTACCTTTTTTCTTTTATTTAATTTTTCTGAACAGTAAGTTTCAAAGATCTCAAGTTTTGCAAGTTAAAATTGGTAGTAAAATTTTGTTGTATTAAAGTAAGCATTAGTTTTGCTCGTGTTTCTCTGTTGCTGATTATAACTGATAAAAAAAAATCAATTTTTTTTGCTTTTAAATTTGCTTTAATTCTGTAAATATTGCAAATTGTGATAACCAACAGAAAAATATATAAATTGCTGAAAAAAGCCAAAAAGTCAAGACGAATTGTGTAATTTGTTAATGTGACATTTATTTTTTTTTAAATTCTTTCTTTTTGTTGTAACTTAATTTCCTATACAGAAATACTGAAAACATCAGTTAACATATATAAGCATGAAAGCATTTGCTGTCTTCACTGTTTATACACTTTTGAGCAGTAAAATAGCATTGAAATACGTTGAATCTGACCAAGTCGCTGAATCGAATCATCAGATTTATTCTGCAGTTATATACTTTATTCGGTTTGTACTGCTCTTGAAAGAAATGCTGATAATACTGATCTGTAGCAAAAAAAAAAAGTTAACATTCAGCTAAATAATTATTTAATAGCTATATTACATCAGTTTCTTTCTTTACTTTTTTTTGATTCAAAAAAATGCAAAGTTTTGACAAAATTAAAACACCGGAAAACTCTTCCAAAAATGCCTGAAAAAGCAGTCTATATAAATGAATTGTGCAAGTAATCTGACCATCAATTTAAGTCACTAAACTGTAGTCAGTTCGAAATTAATCTTACAGATTACTTATGTAAATACTTCTTTTACTTTGTGGTAAAAGTAATATTCGTGCGGAAAAAGCATTTGAAAAACATAAACACTTAACACTTTATTTTGACCATTCACTAATTTCTTTCTTTTCTTGGTCACCTTTTTAAACAACCAATCTGTTTCATATGATTTACCAGCTGATCAGTTGATCTGTTTAAAAACGTAATATTATTGTATGTTACGATGCAGTTGATTGTTCCGTCGCTTTTTATTAGAAGTAAAAAATATCTTTTTTTCTGAGAATAAATCTTACAAAGTTGTAGAAATTACCAAATAGTTAAGCAATGAAACAATTATTACTGTTCGTCAATATGATCTCTGTACCTCGCACTTTGCAAATTCAGAAATCTGTGCAGCTGTGTAACTGAAAAGTTGGCAACAACAGGAACAATCATCAATGTTATGACAAAATTGGTTCAACTTCAGTTCTGAAAAAAAACAAAGAAGCTTTGCATTACTTACAACGATGACTCGTTTATTTCAAACAGTTCAACAACCATTATTTTTTTACTTGTCTTAAATAATTTACAAAATGTTAAGCGATCAAAAACAAAAAAGAAAAAGAATAAAAAAAAGTGCATTTCTTTGGTTCTTATATTTGACTGAATTATTGAATTTGACCTATCAGTATTTAACAACATTCCATTTATGTGCCAATCATCCTACTACGCTATACTGTTTTAGAACATTTTAAAGGTTTTTAAGCTTCAAGAGAGCTGTAAAGAAAAAACGCACAAAGTTAAGAAAAAAAAAGAGAAATAAGAAAAACATGAACATTTTCTCCGGGTGAATTTGTTCAGAACTTTTTCGACAATCATATCTGAAAATTGAAGAAAGTGTTTCACCATTATCAGACCCAAAATCCATGAAGATATACCACATGGCATCATTACGCAATTTTCTTCTGTTGTAATTCGGTTGCTTTCATCATCCGTCAAAAAGGTTTGTTGTTGCTGAAGTAAACCTGTTGCAGTAATTAAGTGTGGGTACAGCTATGACCACTGAAGGTGTACTGGACAAAACAAAATCGGCATTAAGTCAGTTGTATTGTTCCACAGAAAAACCGTCATTGTTTTACCACAATTAAAGAATTTGTGAATAAAAAACAATGTCGATTGTACCATTTAATCACTGATTATTTTGATCATCAGGTGAACAGTACTTCTTTTCCAGACATACATTTGGCGCTTCTGACGGCCCATTTATCCTGCATAGCTACCACATTTCTTCAATGGATCCTCTGACACTGGACTGCGATTGTTGTAAAGTGAGCGAATTCATTTTCCACTTATTTCTTCAACGAGAGCCTTTAAAATAACGCTCAACTATGTTGTTTCACCACTGTTTTATGTTTTGTCTTTTAGAGTAAAGACTCCACACAGTGAGCAGAAAGTTTTGGTTAAGACTTATAACTACCGGGTACCAAGAAAGAAAGAAAAAAGAAATCTAATTTGAAATTAATTCAGTTTTATTTTAAACAATAAATTAGTGAGAAAATATAAAAATGGCTTTCATATGTCAAGCAGCACTAATATAACAATGTAGCATTTTCTTCGACTCCAATGGCGATTAAATGGAAAGCTGCTTTTATGAATTTAAACTTGATGTTTTACGACCATTTTGATATTAGTGGTTCAACACAACTGCTTTAGATTTCAGTCTTTTGCTTACAGCAGTATATTTGTAATGAAAACTAAGAGTTCTAGCAAAATACTAATTGGTAAATTTTTTTTCTAGTAAGAATGATACTGTAGACTACGTAAAACATTTGGCTAAATTTTGCAGTGTTTAGGTTTGCACAAATAAGGACGTCTTTGAAGTGTCAATAAATGTTTCCCAGTTCGAATTGGAAGAACTTAGCGTGGTGGTAAAAGGCAACGACATAATTGTCGAGGGACATCACAGAGAAAAAGGTGATGAAGGCGGAACCGTTGAGCGCCATTTTACTCGCAAGTTTTACATTCCAAGCGAAGTCGATGTAGAGGATCTGCAGTCTAGCCTTAGCCAGGATGGTATTCTCACCGTTACTGCACCAAGAAAATCTCGTTCGAATATGCGACAAATTCAAATTTCTAAAGGTTCACCTTCTAAGAGCACACCGTCTAAGCGCTCACCTGCTAAGAGTTCACCTTCTAAGCGCTTACCTGTTAAGAGCTCACCTTCTAAGAGCTCCCCTTCTAAGAGCTCACCTTCAGAGGCCTCACCTTCGAAAACATCACCATCAAAGAAGAAGAAGAAACAAACGTAACATTATGTTTCTAATCGACTTTACTGCACTTTTAAGTAAAAATTACTTTTATGATTTAAGCACCGGTAGTTTTAATGAACATTGAGCAGCCAACATTTCGTCTTCCTGACTTATGTCTTGTATGATACATTATTAGTGATAAGAGACCTATTCGTTTGTGAAGGATTTTTTTCAAAAGTTATAATCTTAAAAATTATTGAAACAAAAAAACTGTTCATTTTTTCGGAGAAGAAGTAACGTTATTTCCAAATACTTCTTAGATGAATGGTCTTTGAAGGATTTGTAGTAGAACTGATTTTGTTCTGTCGGGCCTTTGTTCTATATAGTCATTTAAGTGTGGTAGAATAGTAAGAAAAATTATGGAGAATGCTGACGTAAAATGTTGACATTTATCAAGGTTGAAGCAATTTATAATTGTACGCCTTTCAAGCAAAATAGGCTTCTGCTGCCGGATTATTTTGTATTCATCAGCTATAGAGAAGATAATGTGTGAAAGCAGTCGATTTTCTTTGATGGCTATTAAAAACTGCGTTAGTATTTTCCAGCCGTACTGAGCTTACAGATTTGCAATAAATGTGAGTGAATGTTGCTTTTTTTAACAGTAGAATAATGCCTAATCAGTACGACACACTTTAAACGTTCAGCACTACAACTAGAAATTCAAGTGAAGGAAGAGGAGAAAAGAGGAAGAGGAAGAAAAAAAGAGAGAAGTCGCCACAAACCGATGTAAGATGTAAGTTATAGAACAATAGTTCTTTCACAAAACAATCACCCTGAAAAAAAGAGTAGTATCGAAGCGAAAACTCTGAGAAACTTAGCTGTTTGAGTATTATTTGAAACTGTCTGTTCAACAAGATTTTCGCAGTTGGAAGCAGCATATCAGTGGAAGTACGGTCTGGTGAAACAATAAATGGAAAGGAAAATGGTTTTTTTTCAAAAATGTTTTTCACGGATGTGTTACAGAATGTTTGTTGTTCGAACACTGTATTATCAAAATGTCAGTGGGTCTACCTGCCACTGAATTGGTCTTGCGCTCAAAGTTGTTTTTGAACAGACAGTGGTACGCTTTGATAAACTTCGAAGACTATTTGACAAATCGGTCAACCGTTTTTGAGCAGTTGTCTATGATAAACGTAATTCGTGGTTGAATTACTCATTTACATCATTACATTTCGATCGTGGTTCAAAAGGAATAAGGCTTGGTAAAAAAAGACCTAAGAAATCAAGCCGCTGAGCAAGTGAAAATAGACTAATTAAAATTAACAGTATCAACAGAGCCTTCTAATGTTTTAATAAAAACTGCATAATTTATAAATTAAGCTGAAAAAATTATGCAGAGAGATTGACTGACAATACTTAATTCAAAGAAAAGAATGAAGTAAAAATTACAAAATAAACGAGAAATATAAAGCCGTCTTTACAGAAAAGCCACAAATGCTCTTATATCTTTCCGATACTGTTATAAATTGGTGTAACCCTTCAATGTTGGAAATTTTTTTATAAAAACAGAAAAACGATGATAACGTAAAGCAGTAATTTTTAAATCATTTTTTAAAAAATCAGCAAAATTTTAGACTGTTTAAGAGCGACGCTAAGAGCAGACATTCTTGGAGAAAAAAAACTAAAGAAGAAAGTTCAAATTGTCGGAAACTACTTCTTTTTTATCCTCCTGTTTAGTTTTTTCAATCAACCTTATTAAGACAAAAAGTTCAATTTTTCAAAACTAATTACTTATAAGAAACAAACTGAGTTTAACCGGTTTACATAGCTTCTTATAAGCAATTTTATTTTCTTTTGAACACAATTATTTTGACCAATTATTCGGTCGATACAAATTTTAAAAATGCTTCATTCTGCACAAAAAAAATTTTTTTTGTAACGCCTTCACCAGATAAAATCTTAATTGATCCGATTCCAATCATAAAACGATGGCCAAAAACCTATAAGACAAACATTAGTATTTCTCATGTTTTGTTCAATCTCAAAATTTATCTTAAAAACAAATGAACTTTTGTTAGGTGAAAAACTTTCCTTAGTTGTGTAAAAAGTTGTGCAATTTTTATTGAAGATTAAACCTGTAACGAAATCTTCTTTGAAAGTATCTGCACGTTTTTTATAGGAATAAAAGAGACAAATCGGTGTTCCAACAGAGAATTTATTTTTCACTTATCTCTTTCAGTTAAACGTTTTTCAACTTTTATATTTTTTACTCTGTATAAGCAAAAAAAATAGAAGAAAAAGAGCAGGTTTTTGATGTTTAGGAATAAGTATCGTTTTTTAGACATTATTGAAAAAAAGAAGTCTTTTTTCATCTTTCTTAAGGATAAAACAGAAATTTTCTTTCCATATCAGAAAGCTTTTGTCAATAGTTTTACTGTTTCTGAAGCAACAAAACGGTACCAAAAATAGTTGCTTAGACCAAAATTAAATCAGAAAGTCTAAGCCAGAAAAGTTATAAAATGTTTACTTTATTGACGTTTTTTTCGTTTTTAATAAACCTTTTTTTCGTCATTCACTTATGTCACACAACTCTATTGACAATCATACATATCTGCTAAATAGATTTACAGCAAAATCTGGAATGTCGAGACACCTGATCGTCTTCTGATTTCTAACATCGCAGTTTTTGCCTTTGCTTAAGCAACATTCTAATATGGTAGCAAATTAATAGAATAATTTCAGACTCCCGGCTATAATATGTTGAATGAACAAAGTATATACAACTGCAAAACACTGTTAATGGTCTGTTATTTCAATAAAAATTTGGTTACATATGTTTTCTTTTGCGAAAATTTGTACTGCTGCTTCACAGGTCGAATTATTTCTATGAACGTGTTCATTTAGTTTATTTATTCAACAAACAACAGATGTATCCAATAAACAGCAAGAACTTCAAGTAAAACAAGATCATTTCAATTTAATCTATTCAACTGAAATTTACGTTTGGTTTTGACTAAGAAGTAAAAACTGTTTATGAAGTAAAGGGTGAAAATGGCTAATGACCACCGTAAATACTCTTTTCGTAACTGTACTTATTAATATGAGACATTGCAATTAGTCTATATCGTTGCATCTTTGCATGTGCAATATGATAATCTAATTTTTGGTTAATCACAGCGCAATCCTTCTTTAGTTCACCCTTGTGTCTCCAATTCGACATGTAAAAGTCTGTGCCGCAAAGGCTTAAATTGAACAGATTTGAAATAAATGAATTTTTCCAACCACCAAATTGATCCATACTTCTGCAAGTTAATGTATATAAGAGGTAAATTGTGCAACTTATACTAAATGTCAAATAAAGTTGAGAAAAAGGTCTAATCCTTGTGCATACTGAGTTTTCCATCCATGAATGACGAAATCATGTTCACACCATTCGGACTTTGTAAGCCAACTGTCGCGAACCCAAGATTTTTTTTGGGTAATATAGAGATATTCTCTTCTTCCATGATGAGTCCTTACTTAGTAAGATTTTGATACAGGCAGCAAATATAAAAAGATCGGTGTAGGTGCTGTAATCTGGTTTACGTTTGCTTTTCAGGGAATGGGAATTGCACTATGACAGATTATTCACAAAAGTTACTGGACATGTATTATAAGACGGTTAAACTTGCAGAACGAACATTGATCTCCACCACAGTCCTGAACAGGGTTTTAAGCTCCTATTTGTTATGTTGACTAAAGCAACCTATAGAACACTGATTTACCGGTATTCACATAAAAGATGCAATAAACAGTAAACAGTTAATGAATAAAAAGTTGCTTTTTTAACGTCCAAAACACTTTTTTTACTACAGATAATTCAAAAGAACTTTTTTAAATTAACGCTTTAGTGATACTGAAAGTGCAGATTCTGAAGAAAAGCAGTATTTGCGGTTACGGTTGTCTATGTGATAGGCTTTCAAAAACCGAAAAGTGATTAGTAAAATAAAAAATTGAAAAGATTTTTTATCTTAAAATTTTTAGGTTGCTTCTACTTTATTGAAAGTGTACATAAACTGCAGGCTTTTCTGATTCATTAAGTGAAACAGCTAACATGCAGTGCGGTATTGTCATAAACGTGAAATCTGGGAAGAGGACGGTTTCCAATATCCGCCCAAGTTCTCATCAATTTAATTGCGAATTCGGATTTTCTGAAATAAAAACTACTTAAACCGTTCTTCTCTAACTCGTTTCCCTCACTTTTTCCTGTGACATTTCACATATACAGTACCAAAAGTTTGTACTGACGACCGATAGGAAAATCAATGAGATAAATGCAGCCTTTTGGTCTGCTACTTGATGGATCTGACTGCAGGACAGTCATAGAAACTAATGATTCTAAACTAAGTGATACTGCCGCCTTGGTGCGATGCTACGCGTCATTATGGCAATAGAAATCTTAAGTTTGCTAAAAAATTTCAGAAGGCTTTGGACAGTGCTTTAACAAACTAAGGGTTACGGTTGGTTCTGAAAGCTTTAGCAAAGTTATTGACTCAGTGAAGCTGAATATGGATGCAACCACTGATGACCAGGGTACAGAACGAAAAAAAGTAGTGGAACTTAGAAGACAAAGGAGAAACTCTCTCCCGAAAAGGAATATATGTATATTTATGTTCAGAATTTTCTGCAAAAAAGTTTTAAAATCACATTACCTGTAATATGTCATTTTAAAAAATAAGAACAATTAAAGTTTCTGCTCTGTATGATAAAATTAAAAAAACAATACTACTTGTTTTATTTTTGAAACTTTTGAAAGAGTTTTTAGAAGATTGTTATTATTCAAAAAAAAATTAACAAATTTTGCTTCTGCAGTTTAGCAAACGTTTTTATCTTATTTCAACCAAAAATTGTTGTAAAGAAAGAAGATCTTTTGTAGTTTTCAATATTTTGATACCAAACTTATGCTAGTTTATGTGAATTACTTGGCAATATAACTTCCAGAAGCAATCTCGCTATTGTATATTCGGTCATAAAATATAAGGTCCTTATCTATCGAAATAAATTCTTCGATAGATCTCTGT